AAATATGGATTTTTTCCCTCCTAATGGTTGACTTCCATTTACACAATTTTTTTTTTTTGCGCGATTTAAGAGCAGGCAACGGAAGGCCTTATAACACATCAGTTCCTACAAGTGTCAATAACTTTAGTATGGAACAGATGTATACCAGAGTGACTTGATACAGGAGATAAGGAATCACCCCCTACAGCTGAGGAGTAGAAGCCTCGTACCTCTAAGACTAAGAGGTCTGCTGCTACCACTGCGAGGAGGAAACGTAGGATAGTGGTGATCAGAGTCTCTCTTCTGAGGAGGATGGAGGCTCCCATCTGTCTCCCTGACATGTCATCTTGCGAGGTATGCTGCCTGCCAGGGGCCGTATCCAAGATGTTATGGAGGCATTGTCAAGGATTATCTGGCCCTCTGACTACTACCCCATGCTACTCATCCATGTGGGCACTAATGATACTGCAAGATGTGACACTGAGCGGATCAAGAGTGAATACAGGGCTCTGGGAGCGCGGGTGAAGGAGTTTGGAGCACGGATATTATTCTCTTCAGTCCTTCCTGTCAAATATAGGGGCCTAGGCAGGGACAGGTGCATCCTGGAGGTGAATGTCTGGCTGCGAAGATGGTGTCGCCAGGAGGACTTTGGCCTTCTCGACCACGGGATGTTATTCCAAGAAGGACTGCTAAGCAAGGATAGGGTTCACCTTTCGAGGAAGGGGAAGACCTTATTTGGATGCAGACTGGCTAACCTAATGAGGAGGGCTTTAAAGTAGGTTCGATGGGGGCAGGTGACCAAAGCCCACAGGTCAGTGAAGAACATGGAGACCTGGGAGATGAGTCAGAAATGGGAGAAACCATGGGCTATAATAGCAGAGAAAAAGGAGGGACAAGGCAACTCAAATCAGCATCTTAGATGCCTATATACAAATGCAAGAGGTATGAGTAATAAGCAGGGAGAACTTGAAGTGCTAATAAAAAACCACAACTGTGACATCATTGGTATCACAGAGACTTAGTGGGATAATACACACGATTGAAATATTGGTATAGAAGGGTACAGCATCCTCATGAAGGACAGGGAGGGGAAAAAAGGGAGGAGCTGTTGCCTTATATATTAAAAATGTATACACTTGGACTGAGGCAGAGATGGACATAGGAGAGTCTTTGGATTAGGTTAAAAGGGGTAAAAAAAAAACAAGGGTGTGGTCATGCTAGGGATCCACTACAGACCATCTACCCAGATAGATGAGGTGGATAATGCTTTTTTTAAACAACTAACAAAATCATCCAAAGTGCAGGATTTGGTGAGGATGGGGGACTTCAATTATCCAGACATTTGTTGGGAAAGTAATACAGAAGGGCACAGACTATCCAGTAATTTCTTGGACTGCACTGAAGACTTTATTTCAGAAGGTTGAAAAAACTACCGGATGGAAGCTGTTCTAGATTTGATTTTAACAAATAGGGAGGAACTGGTTGAGAATTTGAAAATGGAAGGCAGCTTGGGTGAAAGGGATCATGAAATCATCAAGTTCATGATTCTAAGAAATGGTAGAAGGGAGAACAGCAAAACAGAGACAATGGATTTCACAAAGGCAAATTTTAATAAACTCAGAGAGCTGGTAGGTAAGGTCCCATGGGAAGCAAGACTAAGGGGAAAAACAACTGAAGAGAGTTGGCAGTTTTTCAAAAGGACATTATTAAGGTCCCAAAAGCAAGCTATTCCACTACAGAGGAAAGATAGAAAGTATAGCAAAAGATCACTGCATAACCAGGAGATCTTGCATGATCTAAAAATCAAAAAGGAGTCATAAAAAGTGGAAACTAGGACAAATGACAAAGGATGAATATAAGCAAACAATACAGGTATGCAGGGGCAAAATTAGAAAGGCAAAGGCATGAAAAGAACTCAAACTAGGTAAAGACAAAGGGAAACAAGACGACTTTATATATATATTAGAAGCAAGAAGATGACCAAGGACAGGATAGGACCATTGCTCAGTGAGGAGGGAGAAACAAATACAGGAAACTTGGAAATGGCAGAGATGCTTAATGACTTCTTTGTTTCAGTCTTCTCCAAGAAGTCTGATGATGAAGGAATGCCTAACATAGTGAATGCTAGTGGGAACGGAGTAGGTTTAGAAGATAAATTTTTTAAAAAGAACAAGTTAAAAATCATTTAGAAAAGTTAGATGTCTGGAAGTCACCAGGGCCTGATGGAATGCATCCTAGAATACTCAAGGAGAGGATAGAAGAGGTATCTGAGCCTTCAGTTATAATCTTTGAAAAATCATGGGAGACAGGAGAGATTCCAGAAGACTAAAAAAGGGCAAATATAGTGCCCATATATAAAAAGGGAAATAAGAATAACCTAGGAAACTACAGACCAGTCAGTTTAATTTCTGTGCCAGGAAAGATAATGGAGCAAGTAAGAAATTTCTCTTCAAATATCTGGAAGATAATAAGGTGATAGGTAACCGCCAGCATGGATTTGTAAAGAACAAACCATGTCAAACCAATCTGATAGCTTTCTTTGATAGAATAATGAGTCTTGTGGATAAGGGAGAAGTGGTGGACGTAGTATAACTAGACATTAGTAAGGCATTTGATACAGTCTTGCATGATCTTATTAATAAACTAGGCAAATAACTTAGGCCGTGTCTTACTATAAGGCGTGTGCATAACTGGCTAGATAGCCTTTCTATGAGAGAAGTTATTAATGGTTCACAATCCTGCTAGAAGGGCATAACAAGCAGGGTTCCACAGAGGTCTGTTTTGGGACTGGTTAGGCTCGATAGCTTCATCAAGGATTTAGATATTGGCATAGAGAGTGCGCTTCTTAAGTTTGCAGATGATACCAAGCTGGAAGGGGTTGCAACTCCTTTGGAGGATAGGGTCATAATTAAAAATGATCTGGACAAACTGGACAAATGGTCTGAGGTAAATAGGATGAAGTTTAATAAGGACAAATATGAAGTGCTCCACTTAGGAGACGCGATCTTTCGAAAGAGGCTCTTTCGAAAGATGCTTTCGAAAGAGCCTCTTTCGAAAGAAGCCTGCAGTCTAGACACAGCCTTAGATGGGACTACTGTAAGGTGGATGCATAACTGGCTGGCTAACCATTCTCAGAGAGTAATTATTAATGGTTCACAATCCTGCTGGAAGGGCATAACAAGTAGGGTTCTGCAGGAGTCTGTTTTGGGACCGGTTCTGTTCAGTATCTTCATCTATGATTTAGATACTGGCATAGAGCAGTGATTCCCAACCTTTTTCCCATGGAGGAACCCCTAAAATAACTTTTCATATCCCGAGGAACCCCTACTTGTGAAAACATTTGCTTGGCCAGAAAATGTTGACAGCGGGGAGCGCAATTCAATTACTGCTAATTATTTTCAAGAAAATTTATTTGTAAAGAGCTGTTTTATATGTCTCAGCTTACATTGTAAGAAAAAAAATGTTGCATTTTTCCTGCCTCACTCTCTCTTTCTCTTCTCCTCCTGCCTCTCACTCTCTCTCCTCCTCCTGCCTCACTCTCTTTCTCTTCTCCTGCCTCTCCTGCCTCTCACTCGTGGAGCCCAAATGGTTGCTTGCTCCCGCACAGCGGCTCAGTTGAGCTGCGCAGAAGTCCCCACCTCTTGTGCCGCTTGCTCCCGCCCGGCTGAGCAGCGCAGAAGTCATCTGAGTGCCAGGGCGGGAGGCGAAGGGCGTGACAGACGCTCCAGGCCCTGCACAGCATTATTTATTCCACGATTTCTCACGGAACCCCTGATGATGGTCCACAGAACCCTGGCTGGGAAACACTGGCATAGAGAGTGCACTTATTAATTTTGCAGATGATACCAAGCTGGGAGGGGTTGCAACCGCTTTGGAGGATAGTGTCATAATTCAAAATGATCTGGACAAACTGGAGAAACAGTCCACAGTAAATAGGATGAGGTTTAATAAGGACAAATGCAAAGTACTCCACTTAGGAAGGAACAATCCATTTCACACAAACAGAAAGGGAAGCGACTGTCTAGAAAGGAGTACAGCTGGATCTAGGGGTCATAGTGGATTACAAGCTAAATATGAATCAATAGTGTGATGCAGTTGCAAAAAAAGCAAACGTGATTCTGGGATGCATTAACAGGAGTGTTGTGAGCAAGACACAAAAAGTCATTCTTCTGTGCTACTCTGTGCTGATTAGGCCTCAATTGGAATTATGTATCCAGTTCTGGGCACCATATTTCATGAAAGATGTGGAGAAATTAGAGAAGATCCAAAGAAGATCAACAAGAATGATTAAAGGTCTAGGGAATATGACCTATGAAGGAAGACTGAAAGAACTGGGCTTGTTTAGTTTGGAAAGGAAAAGACAGAGAGGGGACATGATAGCGGTTTTCAGGTATCTAAAAGGATGTCACAAGGAGCAGGGAGAAAAATTGTTCTCCTTGGCCTCTGAGACTAATACAAGAAGCAATTGGCTTAAACTGCAGCAAGGGAGGTTTAGGTTGGATATTAGGAAAAACTTCCTAACTGTCAGGGTGGTTAAACACTAGAATAAGTTGCCTAGAGAGGTTGTGGAATCTCCATCTCTGGAGATATTTAAGAGCAGGTTAGAGAGACATCTATCAGGGATGGTCTAGACCAGTGTTTCTTAAACTTTTTGAGACCACGGCACACCAAACAATATTTTTTTTATGCAGAACACTTATGAAACTATTTTTCAAAAAAAAATTGTCAAGACAAAAAAAAAGACAAAAACAAAGAAGTGGTCATAGCACACCTCTGAGTTGTTCACAGAACACCAGTGTTCTGCAGAACATAGTTTAAGAAACACTGGTCTGGATGGTACTGGGTCCTGCCATGAGGGCAGGGAACTGGACTTGATGACCTCTCGAGGGCCCTTCCAGTTCTAGTGTTCTATGATTCTATGACATATAGCAGTGGCGCCCTGTAGTCAAATTTAAAAGCAACCAACCACTAGCTCATTTTGAGACATAATGCAATCTCTATAGTAACATTTTTTTACTTACCTGATAGATTTTGGCATCTCTCATTAGTTTTTCTACAGGATATTCAGTATTAAACCCATTTCCTCCAAAAATCTGGACTGCATCTGAAGCTAGTTGGTTTGCAATGTCACCGGCAAATGCCTTTGCGATGGATGCAAAGTATGTATTTCTGCGACCAACATCAACCTCCCAAGCAGCCCTTTGGTAGGCCAGTCTAGCTAGTTCCACTTTCATTGCCATTTCAGCCAGCATGAAGGACACGGCTTGGTGCTATGATTGTTAAAATAAAAGGGGATTAATACTGCTTCGCTGGGATTTGAGAGAAAAAAAAGTAGTTTAATATTTGCAGGCATAGAGACACTCAGCTCCCAGTGGCTGCAGTTCACAGTACCAGGTCAACAGGAGTGGTGGGAAGTGGCGGTCAGCACGTCCCTTGGCTCACATTGCTTCCCACAGCTCCCATTGGCTGCGAACGGTGAACTGCAGCCAATGGGAGCAGAGAGGCTCCATGTCTGCAGATGCCTCAAGTATATACCAGCGGTTTGCCCTGCTGGGCTGGGAACTGACCATGCTGTGGAATTTGCTGTATTTTAAAAGCTGGAGTCAGAAGAAACACACAAAAGTTTTAGTAGATTTTTAAATGCAATCTAACCAAAACAAAAACAACTGTTACAATAACTGAACAAATATGTATTCACATACCTTCAAAATTACAGTCCATGTTTTAACTTCTGATTAGGGTTGTCAATTGACATGCATTAATGCCTGCGATTAACGCAGTCCAGGATCAACGCATTAAATTTTTTAACGCATTAATGCTGTGCTGCCCCTTTGAAGTGCCTCACAGCTGAGCCGGGGATCACCTTAGTGTGTCACCTGCTTTATCATTGTAAAATTATAATCGCTCTTTGTATATGTCAAAGAAGCCCTGCAGACTGGCATGTCTGGGGCGATAACAGGCTATATACATTTTATTAAAGTTTTCATTGATTCTATTATTTATTATATTTTCAGATTGGCGCTGCGCCCCGGGGGGGGGGCATGAAGAAATTTCGGGGGGGGGGGCGCGAGGCAACCCAGCTCCCCCCACCCCCCTGGTCAATTTCCCTCCTCTCAAGTTGTGCTGCTATTTTTGTTTTTTGGCCCCGGTCAGTTCCTTTTTTTTTTTTGTGCTCAACAAGTTTTGCTGCTATTGGGGGAGAAGGGGACGTGAGGGTTTCTCAAAAATCAAAAAGGGGGCGTGATCCCGAAAAGTTTGGGAACCACTGGGCTAGAGACTTAGGAGGTCCAATGGTCAACATGCTTCTAGAGATCAAATTACACTGTAGAAGACTAACACCATTATCATAGTATTATAATTCATTGTAGTTTTCTGATTGTTTTGTAAGGTCTAGTATTTTGTGAAGTGGAAGTGTCAGATTTCATGTGGATACAATTTGAATAAAATAAAATTTTATCACTTTTTTTAAAGAAGCGAGTCCTGAACTAACATTTCATCATCTACAACAGGGGTTAGCAAACTTTGGCTCCCAGACTGTTAGGATAAGCCACTGGTGTGGCAGGAAGTTTGTTTGCTTGCAGAGTCTGCAGACACAGAGCCCCTCAGCTCCTGTTGACTTCTGTTCATCATTCCCAGCCAATGGGAGCTGAAGGAAGCTACACGAGCCAAGGTACGTGCTGGCTGCCACTTCCTGCTGCTCCCGTTGGTCAGAAACAGAGAATCACAGACACTGAGAACTGCAGGATTCCATGTCTGCAGACACTCCAGGTAAACAAAACATAACAATGTGTCAGCGGTTTATGCTGACGAGCTAGGATAAGAAGTTTGCAAACTATCAATATTGAGTCAACTTATGAATGGGTCTTTGTAATATTTGCAATTTTTTTAAACTGGGGGGGGGCAGCTTATGAACGAATGGGCTTATAATCACGTATATATACAGCAATTAAAAATTAAAAATCTATTCAATCACAAAACGTAGCTTTCAGCTGGTTTGTTAAGCTTCATTGTTAATGGGGTCTGTTTGCTGTTTTATATCAAGAAAAGTTTATTATTGAGTCTTCTTTTCCCTGCTGCTCCCTGCCCAATAAGTAAGGAAACTGAAGTATTTGGTTGATGTAATTCAATCTCAGTACACTGCTTTCAAATGACCTACCATGAACCAACTCATTCTTTAAAATAGGGGAGGGGAACGTCAGGCAGAGGGAACGTCAGGCGTGTCTTTTTGCTTCTCAGTTGGGTGCCATTTCAGTGAGGATTTTTTGTGTGTGGCCCCTGACTGATTTTTCTGTGGGTCAGTGGCCCCTACCCAAAAAACAGTTCCCCATCCCTGCTTTAAAAGTTCCTGGAGTTAGTACCACGTTAGCTTTATTTATGATTTTATATGGAGCTCTCAAGTCTTAACTTCACATTTAAAAAGCAGAGTCAGGTAGAAGCATACTATAAAATAGTCATATGAAAATAGAATATCTTTAACAGCATATGCTACAAAACTATGACTTGTAACTTTCTACTTAACTTACTTCTACAATTGGTCTTCCAAAGGTTTTTCTCTCCAAAGCATACCTAGTAGCTTCATCCAATGCTCTCTGTGCTAGCCCAACAGCACCTGCTGCTACCTGTATAGTTCAAATACAGTACATATTAAAAATCAGAATTCTGTACTTTTACATTAAGTTCTTTTGCTCTTTTTAGAAAGAGCATCTTATTTCCGCTACTTACTGGTGGTCTGGTTTTATCAAAAGCTCCCATAGCAATTTTAAAGCCAACTCCCTCAGCACTGAGAACATTTTCTTTGGGTACTCTCACATCCTCAAAGACAATACCTCTTGTATCTGAGCAGCGCTGACCCATATTAATTTCCTGAAAAGGAAATTTATAAAAGGTATAACTAGAACATCCATGACATGACATGTAATTTACAGAGCTACAGCAGCATAAACAAGATCAAATCAAGCTTTTTATTTTACCATCCAGATGATCACTAGGGATGTAAGCAACTAGCCAGGGAGTCAACTATTTGATAAGCATAGGCTTATTGGGTAGTTGAATGACTACTCCCCACCCTCCTGCCTCTGAAAGTAGAGTCACAGTGGTCCCGGAGCTGGCATGAGCTTGGACTGCTCAGTCCTGGCTTGCACTGGCCCCGCGAGCTAACCCTGCTGCAGCTCTTCACTTTAAAAGTAGTTTAAAATGCAGAGCCGCAGCGGCAGTAGCAAGTGCCCCCCTATTATCAACTAATCAAGAAATCGATGGAAATTCCATTGACTACTTGATTAGCCAGTTAACCATTACTTAACATCCCTAGTGACCATGCCTCACAGACTTGAAATAAACCCATAATACTAATATGATTGACTTAGCAAGTCACCACTAATTTTATTTCAAGCATCTTTCAAACAAGTCACAATATATAAACAGCAATGGGTACAGAAAAGTTTTCTTATGCTAGGCACAATTATGTTGTGTACCTAATATGTTAAAAAGCATTCAATTAATAGTATTTTCTTCTTTTACAAATCTACTTTTTTTTAGCAGCTCAGTGTCAATTCCTAGAGTCTTAACTAGCACTCTTATAAATATCTATCTATGTATACTCCACCTTTCTTCCGATATGAATTCCAGGGCTGTCTGCTTCCACAATAAATCCAGTAAAGGCTTTGCCTGCAGGGGCTTTTGGGTCAGGATTGGAACGAGCTAATAAAAAATACCTAGTGCAAACACACAGTAAACTTGTGTAAACTTGAGTGACTCAAACTGTTTTGAGGATTAAGAGATAAACAGAAACTCTTTTTTAAAGATAAATACTTCAATTAGGGATGTAATACTATAGTCAATTAACTGATTAACCTACAAGCAAAAGTTTATCAGTTAATGCTATAGACTACATTCACACTTCCCCCTCCCCCCCTCCACACACATCCTTGTCAGTAAATTTTTTAGCTAGCTGGCCAGCACCCTGGTTCAGTCCTGGCTTATGCCGAATCTGGGATTTACCACTGCTGCAGCTCTACATTTACAGAGTATTAGGAACCAGCTCAGCTCTGGCTTGTGCCAGGTCCGGGACCTACCCCTTGTCAGGGCTGATCCCCACTCTGGCACTCTGAGTGCAGAAAGTGTAGGCTCGCGAGATTAAAAACCTTGCGTCTAGGCAATGGCTACCAAAACTTCCCAGAGTAACAGATTCCCTGGCTCTGAGAAACAAAAGTTGCTACCATCAAGTGATTTTTTTTAGCCCTAAAACCAGGGGTGAACACTTGAAACCAGCCCCAGGAGTACCTTAAGCTCTTTTTCTCCAAAAGAGCTTAAAAAAAGAAAAGAGAAAAACAAGCTGCAGTCTCTTGTAGCTGACGCCTCAGTCGGAGGCATGCAGGTACACACAGAGAGACAGACCTTCCAGGACACAACAATCAAATCATCACCTTAAAAAAGTGATTTTTATTACAAAAAAAAAAAAAGATAAACTTTAGAAAGAATACTTGGTTGTTACATGTTACAGAGCAACTAAGGAAAACAAGTTAAAATGCAGAGAAAAGTCTCTGGAAACAAAGTTTAGAGGGTAAAGGGAGAGGGGAAGCATAGATTCACACAGAGCAGTTAAAACCAAACCACAAAATAAAAGAGAAAATACCCTGAATGTTACTAGATCCCCCTTTTTTCCCCTTTTACTTGCTTCCAATCTCTTTGTTCAGTCCACTCCAATGCTCCGAATTCTTTGGAGGCATGGTAGTCCTGCTTGGGTTTAAATTATTCTGTATCTCTTAACTCCTGGTTTTTCTCTCCCATACAAACAAAGCAGGCAAGGACTCTATATCCAATTCAAATTTCAAAACTCTATCTGAATTGGTTCTCCCCGCATCATGGCCAACACCTTTGTTAGCTACCTAAATTTAACTCTTTAGTCACCAGGTGCTGATCAGCACTCCTCCTGTCCATTATACCCCCCGTTGTGGCTCTGCATTCACAGTGTATTAGGAGCCAGGTGGGCAGGCAGCCCAGCTCAGTTCCGGCTTGCACAGAGTCCAGGAGCTCAGAATCCCCTGGACAGGGGCTGCTGCCACCCTGAACTGCTACCTCTGTGTTAGGCAGCTAGTCTGTGAGGGGAGGCAGAAGCACACAGTGGTAGAGGGCTCCTTGGTAGTAGGGCCAGGGTGCACAGGCTGCTGGCCCCACTTCGGGGGACTCTAGAATACTCGAGTAACCGATAAGAATTCATGAAGTTAGACTATTCAATTAACCAATATTCAACATCCCTACCTTCCATATAATATTAACCATATCAAAAGATTCTAAGAAGTGGGCATTAAGTACTTTTCTTCAGGTAGATGACGTGAACAAGGACAGCCTGCTGTAAACTAGAAATATTTCTAACAAGCACTTCCAGTATGGCCATCACTGTGGTATCCAATCACTAACAAAATTACACAAAGACAAATAACTGATACAAAGGAGTTTTTTCTCATACTGCTATATGAGTTCATATTACATTATTTGGTAAACTTTAGGAATGTTATGAAAAGACTATCTCAGAGGTTGGCCATTTCATAGCAGATCAAGGATTAGGTAAACAGGTGATTGTGTGAAAACCTTTATTAGTATCATATGATCCCGTGAAGGGGATACATTTTATTTTTCTAAGCCTAAACTGCAGCTCATTTATAAAATAAAAATGTAACACATTTGAAAAAGTCACCCCAGTTGTATTCATTGATGAATAAAACAGATGTTATTAGATGGTCACACCTTAAAGATCCTGAACAATTAAACGGATTTATTTGAAGCAGGCTATACAAGATATCAACTAGGATAGAACGAAAGAACTGTACTTTTTAAAAAATGCTGAAAAAAGGCTTTTTCAGACTTCAGAGCAACATCATCTAAATTTTAGAATAGCTGGGAAGTATTCTCTTTACACACCACACAAATGTGAGATTTATAACCACTTATGTGGGAAAGGATAAGAGTCTGATAGCGGTATATGTGGCTAGAAGAAAGAAATAATTTCAATGACCATGTACACAATCAAGGCAGAGTAATGAATAATAAGGTAAGTTCTTTTGAGTACTGTGCAAATAAGTCACCCTCTGCATTTTTCCTCCCATTAAAAAGAGGTAGAATTGACTGGTTTTCAAATCATGCTGTTATCAAACACACTGTCAGTAGTTTTGTTATGTGGTTGTTTCCTTAGTAGATCCTGTGGGGCACTGAAGTGCATATTGTTAGCTGCAAAATTCTGTAGTGATATATTGATCACAGATAAAAATACAGTATAATGAACATGAAGATTTAGAAGAGAGAGCCATAAAAGAGAGCCTAATACCTATCTTAGAGAAAATTTTCTATTGTATATAAAACATGGTGAAGGGATGAACACACAGAAATTGAAATAGTAAAGCAAGTTAATAAGCAGTTATTATACCAGTTAGCTTTGCCACCATTGGTGATCCACATCTTTTGACCATTAATGATATATTCATCTCCTTTCTTCTCAGCTCTCGTTTTTATACCAGCCACATCAGAGCCTGCTCCAGGTTCTGTTACGCAGTAGGCCTAAAAGAAGAAGAAGAAGAAAAAAAGCAACACATCAAATAACAAAAATGTCACATCATTTAATGAAGAGGACTGCACAGACTATCACACTGTGTAGGTATCAAACTATTACTTATAATGGTCTTGAATTTTCCCCCTCACTTAATGTGTTTCCACAAACAAATTTAAAAAAGCCTTACAAAAATGTACATATAAAGCAAAAGTATGTTTAATAGGTTTAAATTTCCAGAATGAATTACTAAACATGGAAAATTCTGACTAGCAATACTGTGCAGTTTACTTTTTGAAGTAACAGAAAAGTAGTATATGATGTGAGTAGCAATTCAATTTTATTTTTAAAGTTTCCCCTATTATCTTTACATCCCTGATGAACCATAATTTTAACATTGATAATAATTCAGTCTGTGCACAGTAATGATGCCTTACTGGGAGATTGAATGAGATTAGTAGGAGCATTTCCTACATTAGTAGGAGCATTGCCAGCAGATCAAGAGAAGTGATTATTCCTCTCCATTTGGCAATGGTGAGGCCACATCCGGAGTACTGTGTCATTTTGGGGGGCCCACTACAGAAAGGATATCAACAAAATTGGAGAGTCCAGCAGAGAAGAATGAAACTGACTATAGGATGGGGCATAAATATGAGGTGAGGCTGAGGGAACTGGGCTTATTTAGTCTGCAGAAGAGAAGAACAAAGGGGGGGAAGGATCTGACAGCAGCCTTCAACTACCTGAAAGGAGAGTTCCAAAAAAGATTAAACCAAGCTATTCTCATTGTTGGCAAATAACAGAAGTAGCAGCAATGGTCTCTAGTTGCAGTGGGATAGGTATAGGTTTGATATTTAAAAAAAAAAACTAGTTCGTTATGAGGGTGGTGAAGCACTAGAATGGGTTGCCAAGGGAGGTGGTAGAATCTCCATCCTTAAAAACCTCTAAGGTCAGACTTGACAAAGGTCTGGCTGGGATGATTTAGTTGGAGTTGGTCCTGCTTTGAGCAAGGGGTTGGACTAGATGACTGCCGTAAGTCTCCAACCCTATTCTATAATTCTATGAAAATTGTGAGCAGAATACTAGACACTTCTCTTTTAAGACGCAACTTTGAATCCAGCCCAGCCTAGTGATCACTCCAAGTTTTAGTTGATATTCACATGCCCATAGAAAAAAATGTGGTCTAAATCCAGTAATGTAGGCAGTTGGGAACTAATAAAAATGGCACCTTGTTGGCATAAAACACATAGATTAAAAAGGAATGGATTTCTCTCTCACCTGTAGGATATGGTCCCTGCAGGATATGCCTAAATCACATTACTGATGGAACACAAGGAAGCCCTTTTCCGGAGGATCTCTTATTCCTACTTTCAAGTAGGAATAAAAGATCCTCCGGAAAAGATCCTTATTTTCCGGAGAATCACGTCTAGACTGGCGCTTTTCTCCGGCTTATCCCCAAGCCGGAAAAAAGCGGCAGCCATGTTAATGCAAATACCGCGGGGGATATTTAAATCCCCCGCGGATTTTGCTATTCCAAAGTGTCTAATCTGCATCCCTTTTCCGGACGTATCTGAGGTCAGGAATATAGGCTGTAGATTTATTATCAATGTGTTCATATTGGGAACAGCCTTTTACAAGTCTATCATGTTCAACAACCTTATTATATTTATTTTTAGCTGCTTAGTAATGCAGCCTTTATAGAAGTAAACATCTGAATCCTCACTAGCTTCTAGATACAGCAGCTATTGGAAGCTTATAGTACTTCAGATTGTTCTGATCCCCTTCAGGAGTTGGGCCATATTTTTCTTTTCTAAAATCTGCTTCCTCTTCTCAATAGAAAAATTACACTTTGTGACAGCTACTTTAGGATTTCTGGTTGATTGTTCTCAGTGTTTTTGTTTAAAAAAAAAAAAAAAAAAAATGGTGCCAGTACACCAGAGGAAAAGTTGTTGAGCTCTGACTGGAGATGCCAGTACTGCGTCTGAAGGTGCCGGTACTGTTTACCTTGCAGTACAAAAAAAATATCACTTGCATATGCTAATTGAATATGCTAATTGAACTTGCATATGCTAATTGAATGTATTCCACTTACTGTCCCTCATCTTATAGTAAGTTGTAATGTCCAATTATATGTAAATACTTATTTGGATTAAGTACAAATCCCTTTACATTTTCTTCAGAAGAAGAATGCAAAAGAAGATATCATGGGCCAGAAGGATTCTACAAAACTAGATTGAGACTCAGGGTATGTCTACACTACAGCGCTAATTCGAACTAAGTTAGTTAATTAGTTAATTTGAACTAAGCTAATTCGAACTAACGGATCCAGACAAAAAAACTAGTTCGAATTAGCGTTTTGCTAATTCGAACTAGCATGTCCACATTAAGTGGACCCTGAACCGGGGTTAAGGATGGCCGGAAGCAGTGCCAGCAGGGCATCAGATGAGGACTTAGAGCGTGGAGCTGCTGTCTCAGGCTAGCCGAGGGCTGTGCTTAAAGGGACCCGACCCCAACCCCAGACAGACAGTTCTCAGGGGTGCCCCGCTTGCAAAGCAGTCCTGGCTTGGAGTGCCCTGAGTGCCCACACTGGGCACATCACAGCACTCGGCCATCAGACCGGCTGCACTTGCCACAGGCTGCCATCTGGGGAGAGGGAGCAATTGGGGGGCTGCAGGAGAGGTTCCACCCCCAGAAGCCTGCAG